CCCCTCCCTCTCTCCCTCCCTCCCTCTCACTCTCTCTTTAAAAAAAAAATGTCCATCAAGTTTTTATTTTTTTAAAGGAGAAACTATATAAACTGGGCATGATGGTGCATGCCTTGTAACCCTTATGACTCAGGAGACCAAGGCAGGAGATTTCCAAGATAGAGACCACCGTCTACCTCTGCCATGCTATTCAGGTACCCTCAGGCCCAGAGCAATGGAGTTAGCCATTTATGGACTGAGACCTTTCAAACCATGAGCCCCAGATATACTTTTCCTCCTCTAAAATTGTTTTTCTTAGTTATATATATAGCAATATATAACTTCAGCTCTTCATATACATTTTCATATTTCCCAGTATGGTTTGAAACTGTACATGAATTCTGATCATTATTTTTCAGATACCATTGGTAGTTAAAGTTGAGGGGGCAAATGCTGAGACTTACTTGAGGAAGGAATGCTCTATGAGTTAATATTGTTCCTCAAAGTTATTTCTTGTGGCTGTCAAGTTGCATATTACTGTGGGGATTGAACTGAGTATTAAATATGGGCAGTGTGGTATTTAGCAGCTCACACCATTTAGTGATAACTAATATTGAAGGTTTATTTGTTTTTTGTTTTGTTTTTTGGTACAGGGGATTGAACCTTAGGGGCACTTAGTCACTGAGCCACATCCCCAGCCCTATTTTTGTATTTTATTTTAGAGACAGGGTTTCACTGAGTTGCTTAGGGCTCACTGAGTTTCTGAGGCTGGTTTTGAACTCATAATCCTCCTCCCTCAGTCTCCTGAGCTGCTGGGAATGCAGGCATGCATCATTGTACCTGGCTGCATCTTTTTTGATTTGGTTAATATGTGTGCCATAACAATTATTGAGCATTTGGAATGCCATACCTCCTTATAGAAAATCAAACTTGTAAATCTGGCATGTGCTTGGTAATGACTAATTTCCTTTTCTTCTCTTTTGGGCTCTTTTATGTTCCTGATCATTCATAGTAGGTTGCTGATGACTAGTATCCATTTTTTATTGTCCTGTATCCCTGAAACATCCCTGCAGTATGCTTGGATACCCTTTGGTAAGTGTTCTGGTTCTTTTATTATGAAAATATGATCTTTCTGTATAGCCCTTTGCCCTAATGACTTTGACAGTTGCTCATATTTCCTCAGTTCCCCCTTGAGCCACACTATCTGTTAACTTGAAAGGCCTTTTCTAAAGAAAATCTTTTTGTATAAACACATTGGGTTCATAGTCAGTAATGTTCACACTCATTGTTACCCATGATGATCATCAGCTAGTATAATGTTAAAGGTGTTAATTTTGGGGTTGTTTATAATGCTGAACCAATGGAAACAACTTAACTCATGGAACTGGTTATATAAAGTATGATAAAATTATATGTTGCAGGGATCAACACACTTTCTCTGTAAGGGTCAAGTGTGAGCTACGGAATCTCTGATGCAGCGTCTCAATTTTCCTGTTGTAGTATTAAAACAGAAACAATATATAAATTAATAAGCATCATAGCTATGTTTCTGTAAAATTTTATTTAGGAAGTAGACCATATTAGGCCTGTAGGCCATAAATTGCTAGACCCAATGTAATGAACTTTCACTCTATGACTATTTAAAAAAATCAAATAGAATTATATATATTGACAAAGTGTCCATCAAGTTTTTATTTTTTTAAAAGAGAAACTATATAAGCTGGGCATGATGGTGCATCCCTTGTAATCCTTGTGACTCAGGAGACCAAGGCAGGAGATTTGCAAGATAGAGGCCAGCCCAGGCAACTTAGTGAGAATCTGTCTCAAAATAAAAACAAAAAGATGCAGAGTGTGGTGTTGCAGTCCTGTAATCCTGGTGGCTTGGTTTGGGAGGCTTCTGCAGGAGGATCACAAGTTCAAGACCAGCCTCAGCAATTTAGCAAGGCCCTAAGCAATTTAGCAAGAGAGAGACCCTGTCTCAAAATAAAAAAGGACTGGGGATGTGGCACCATGGTGAAGTTCCCCTTCATTAAATACCCAATAACTCCTTCCCCCAAAATAAATAAATAAACAATAAAAACAAAGAGCTAGGGATATTATTCAGTGGTAGCATGCCCCTGGATTTACTAACACAAAAGGAAAATAAGTAAATAAATACATACACACACATACATATATATATATACATTTAACATATATTTAATACATATATATGTATTTTATATATATATATTTGGTCAAAATTCTACATACACACTTTGTTTGTAGTACTGGGAACTGGATCCAGGGACACTTTGTATCTGAGATAAATCCCCAGCCCTTTTTAAATTTTATTTAAGACAGGACTTTGCTAAGTTGCACAGGCTGGCCTTGAACTTGAGATCTTCCTGCTTTAGCCTGTGAATAGCTGGTACTACAGACATGTGCTATTATGACCAGCCACATACCTGTATTTGTATGGGTCAGAAAGAGCCTGAAAAGACACATGCTCAACTTTTAACAGTAGCCAGACCACATTAGGGCGGGTAGACACTTTTCCTTACCTTATTGTTTTTTTTGTTTTTTTAAATTTTTTAGTTGTACACAATATCTTTATTTTGTTTATTTTTATGTGGTGCTGAGGATTGAACCCAGGGCTTCGCACATGCTAGGCAAGAGCCACAATCCCAGCCCATCCTTACCTTATTATTGAATATTATATTGTGAGAGAGCCTTGCCTTTGATATAATTAAATAAAATGCAACTAGGATTTGTTTTTTATGTTTTTTTGTTTGGTTTGGTTTGGTCTTGGTACGAGGGATTGAACTCAGGGGCACTCAACCACCGAGCCACATCCCCTACTCTATTTTATATTTTATTTATTTAGAGATAGGGTCTCACCGAGTTGCTTAGTGCCTAGTTTTGCTGTGGCTGGCTTTGAACTTATGATCCTCCTACCTCAGCCTCCTGAGCTGCTGGGATTACAGGTGTGGGCCACCATGCCCATCTTGGGATTTGTTTTAAAAGTTAAAAAAAAAAAAGTTTTCTTAGCCTTAATCATTATGTATATAAACTTGTGTTTTACATAAAATCTAAGAACTTCACAATTAAAATAACTCCCAATCATCATTAACAAAGTGACTATAACCTCAGCTACTTATGGCTTTAAATGGGAGTTTATTTATTTAATTTTGTATCTTTTGGTGGCAGAAATGGGACCCAGGGGCGCTTTACCACTGAGCCACATCCCCAACAGGGTCTTGCTAATTTGCTTAGTTTTGATAAATTACTGATGCTGACCTTGAACTTGCAATCTTCCTGCCTCAGCCTCTTGAGCCACTGGGATTACAGGCATGCACCACCATGCCCAGTTGTAAATGGGGGTTTAGACAGATTCATGGTCATAATAAGGGATATTTAATTGAGAAGTCAGATCAATGCCTTAGCTGGGAACCAGGAGCTGAATCTGGAGGCAGATTCTGGGGATCCTGGGGACAGCCTCAGCAATGCTATCATGTCAAGCATCTTTCTAGATCTGCAGGGTCTCAGGAATGTGCAGCAGCTTCCAACTTCCTGGTCATTAACTGCATTTGCTCCTACCAGATTTCTCCTTTGCCAAGAACCCTCTCCAGGCCAGGTCCTGAAGCAGGAAGAGGACTCATGCACTTTCACAGCCATAGCAAGAAGACTATACATAGTTAAATACACACCATACACATGAAGGTGAGTGCCAGTGGGAGGGGTCTTGGTAGAATAAGTCACATTTGAGTCACATCTAAGTCACTCTGAAGCCTGAGTAGGAGCCTGCCATATTGCCCAAGGCAGGGCAGGAAATTCAAGCAGGCAGAAGTAAGGGATGAACAAAGACAAGGCTAGCAGTTACAGATCAGGAAGGTAAACCAGCAGAGTTTCTGGAAAGGGAGAAAGGAAGTCACATTTGAGTTCTAGAGAGATTTTTCTGGTGGTAGGGGAGGAGAATGTGTGAGGAAAGCAGTTAATGATTTCTTGTCCAGGTGAGAAGTTTAGGCCTTCTGCTCCATTATGGTGGAGTCAAGACTTTGCTTTCTTCACTTCTGGGCCATGTCCAAAGCTGCACCTTCTGCTTCCTGTGTCCTCTCCCCTCCTCTTGGCATGGTCAGTTCTCCTTCTTTCTTTGAGTTTTAAAACTAATGTGTGAGCCGGGCATGGAGGCGCACCATAGTAATTCCACCTACTTGGAGGCTGAGGCAGGAGAATTACAAGTTTGAGGTCAACCTGGGCAATTTAGATGGTGTCTCAAAAGCTAAAAAGGATTGGGTATGTAGCTTAGTGGCAATATTGCTGATTACCAGTGATGAGTTCTGCTTCCTCACATCTTGAAGTATAACATTAAAGAAGCACGCAGAGGCAAGCATATAAAGCAGAATTTACTGTAAAAAGGGGTAACAGACTTTTCCCAGGAGGGAGAAGGGGGCCATAGCTGGTATCCTAGTATCCAAGAAGCCAGGGTGTATTGCCTTTTTATATGTCCTAGGCTTCCTTTGTTCTCCTGCTCTCTCCTTCCTGCATAGGTGACTAGGCCCAGGAGATGCTCAGTGGGATGGCCAAAAAGTGAAAAGTTGGGGGAAGGGCCAGATGGAGCAGCCCCGGACACATTAATTTACAACTTTATAACTCCCTGTAGGGAGGGACAATTCCTGGGACTGGTTACCTTAGTAACAAGTTGGAGCAGGGGCTGGTAAGGGTGATAAGGGTGGAGGAAGGGCTCTGGAGGCTTTTCAGTCCCTCAGGGGGCAGTCTCCAACTTCCAGGACTCACTCAAATTATCTATACCGAGTGCCTGTCTAATTCTGGCTTCATGGTCAAGTTCTTCTGAGTTCAATTCCTAGTACCACACACATGCACACAAAATATTAAAATAAAAAGCTACGTGGGGGTGCTGGAGTTGTGGCTCAGTGGTAGAGTACTTGCCCCACATGCATGAGGCCCTGGGTTCGATCCTCAGCACCACATAAAAATAAATAAATAAATAGATAAATAAAGATGTTGTGTCCATCTACAATGAAAAAAATATTTTAAAAAACTACCTGGGGAGGTAGCTCAGTCTTGCCTGGCTTGTGGGATGCCTACGGTTCAATCCCTAATGCCACAAAACAAATTAGGTGTGACACTCACCTAGAAAAACTCACTGACCTCTCAGATTTCCCCTGTCATTCTCAAGCTGAGTAAGGAACTGGTATTCTGGGCTCCAGAATGCTTTGTGCCTTTCTCTGTCTCTGAATCAATTCCATGGCTCTAGGATTGTGTTTTGGTTTCTTTACCATTATAATATGATTTTTCACTGGGCAGGGGCCAGATTTCACTAATCTTTTTGTTGATGTTATTGTTATTTGTTTGTTTTGTATTGAGAATTGTTCCCCAACTCCCTATCCCTTTTTATTTTTTATTTTAAAAGAGGATCTAAGTTGTTTAGGGGCTTCTCTAAGTTGTTGAGGCTGACTTTGAACTTGCAGTCCTTCTGCCTCAGCCTCCTGAGTCACTGAGATTACAGGCCATGTGCCCATGCTCAGCTCTTTGTGTCTTCAACACCTAGCAGAGAAAGTCTGACACCAAGAAGATAGGTAGCAAATAACTGTGACTGGATGAGTAAAGAATAGATGAAAATTTGAGAGAGATTTTGGGGGTTGAATTAGAATTGCTTGGCAAAAGATTGGGCAGGACTGGTGACAGGGTGTGTCTAAAAATGATCCCAGGTTTTCTGGTTTGGGTGCAGGGGACATTTACTCATAATTCTTTAGATGCTGAGTGTATAGGATTTGCAGACTAATTGCCCAGTTCTCAGACACCAACTGAGTGAGTATCCAATAATTCAGTTTAATTCTGATACTTTCTACCTAGAGTTAGAGTCAGATCCCACCAGTTAAAAAGCTCATTCCCACAAGACAGCCTTCATTTCAGACACAGGTGACCAGTCTCATGTTGACATCTATATTTCTGACCAACCAGCTAAATAAATTCCTGGGATCCCTTGACCATCCTTCTTCACATTCAAAAATGTGCTGGAATGGCTTACAAGACTCAGGGAAACATTTTAGTCATACTTATGAGTTTAAATGTATAAGGATATAATGCAGGAATAGCCAGGTGGAAGAGATGCATAAGGCAAGGTATTAGGCATTCAGGGCTTCTCTGTCATTTCAAGGCACAGCACCTTCTTAGCACTTCAGTGTGTTCACCAACCAAAGAGCTCTTTTGAACCTTATCATATAGTTCCCCCAGACCCTCTACTGGGGTGCTCTACTGCTATACTACATCCCCAGCCCTTTTTATTTTTTCTTTTGAGACCAACCAAATAGCTCTTTTGAACCTTATCATATAGTTCCCCCAGACCCTCTACTGGGGTGTTCTACTGCTGTACTACATCCCCAGCCCTTTTTATTTTTTCTTTTGAGACAGGGTCTCACCAAGTTGTGAAGGCTGCCCTCAAACTTGCAATCCTCCTGTGTTAGCCTCCTGAATTGCTGGGATTATAGGCAGGTACCTCTGCACCCCTGATATTATATATGGGTTTTAATGGAGGTTTCAGTATGTAGACATGATTGATCAAAGTACTGGCTATTGATGATTAATTCAACCTTTAGCCCTTTTCCCCTTTTGGAAGCTGGGAGATAGGGCAGAAAGTTCCAAGTCTGACAAGGCTGGCTCTTGCTTGTGGCTAGCCTCATCCTGAAACTACGAAGAACCCCCAACCACCAGTCATCTCATTTGCATGCGAAAGACACTTTCCTCATTCCTGAGATTCCCAGAGTTTTAGGAGCTTACATTTATCACTGGAGGTGGTAGTGCCATTAAACCAGGTGACAGATCAGAACAGATATGAGAAAAAAGACTATTTCCTTCAGATACCATGTAGTGACACAAAACAATAGTCACTGTTTCTGGTTCACTGGCATCGGCATCCTCATCTCCACTCTTGGTCTGAGCTGACAACCCCCAAATACCTACAGGCTTTTACTAACCAATTCCCAATTCTCTTCCATGTGTTTACAGTCTTGTGGTTTTCAGTGTTGTGCAGAATGCCTCCATCTGAACTTCCACTAATTAGTATCTTTGGTTTGTCCACTTATCTAGGGATCTTTCAAAAAAGGTCTCTTACCTCTACCCATATCTCAGGCAGCTTTGTGAACAAAGTTTCTCATGTGATGCATTTTCTATATTCAGAAGATCTACAGAATATAGGTCAAGGCTCTTTCATGCATATAACTGAAAGCCTGGAATGCACAGGTATAACCCAAAAGGGAATTTATTGGCTCACCAAACTGAAAATTCCAGAGAATAGACTTAACTTAAGGCATGCTTGCACATGTAGGAAATAACTTTTTTTTAGGTGGTACTAATAAAAGTGTGCCACTATTTTGTCTTTTAAAACTGTTTCCTTGGGGCTGGGGATGTGGCTCAAGCGGTAGCGCGCTCACCTAGCATGGGTGTGGGTTCGATCCTCAGCACCACATACAAACGAAGATGTTGTGTCCGCCGAGAACTAAGAAAAAAATAAATAAATGTTAAAATTCTCTCTGTCTCTCTGTCCCCCTCTCTCTCACTCTCTCTTTAAAAAAATAAAAAATAAAACTGTTTCCTTGCACATGAAGGAAATAACTTTTTTTTAGGTGGTACATTATATTTAGGGATATAAATGCTGTCAGGCCCTGATTTTTACTCCTGATGACTCATGGTCACTTCTTATCTCTCAACTTTATTCTCAGGAGGTTCTTCTCATGCAGTGCAAGGTGGGTGAGGAGGCTGCAGTTGCCATAGACTGTTCCTTTTATGCTTAAATCAAGCCAAAAAGAGTAAGCCTTTTATCTATCTGTGCCTGCAACAGTCCAGAGAGTTGCTCTGATGTGGCTGGTAGGATTGTTTGTTGGCCTCTGAATGATCTCTAGATCAGGGACTGCTGCAGGCCTGGGTGGGGCTGAGGGGTGGATAAACCACAGATATTGACTAACTTGCTAAAATCCTCCCCTCCCAGGAGGTGGAGCTCAAATACTGCCAGCACAATGACAGGACTACAAGTATGTGCCACCATGCTGGGCTCCTATACCTTTGCTACTTGAAGTCATCAAATTTATTTTATTTTGAGATGGTCTTACTAAATTGCCTAGGCTGGCCTCAAACTTTTGGTCCTCCTGTCTCAGCCTCCCCAAATGCTGGGATTACAGGCCTGCACCACCTTGCCTGGCTCTCTTAGATACTTCTATATTGCCTGAAAATATGGTACCACTGAGTCATAACTCCGGATTCTAAGACAGAAGTGATATCCTTGCTTTTTCTGTGTGGAACCAAAGGACTAATCCTGTCCTGCTGGCTGAGTCAAGACTATCTACATGCCTTCAAGGCACAGGCCCTTTTTGTTTCTCTCCACCCCACCCACCCCAACCCAGTACTGGGGATTGAACCCTCTAGTGTTCAACTTCTGTTCTACTTCTCCCGCCCTTTTTATAAATTTTGAGAAGTTTTTCTAAGTTTTCCATGCTGGCCTTGAACTCGCACCCTCCTGTCTCAATCTCCTGAGAAGCTGGAATTATATGCATGTGTCACTGCTCCCAGCTCTGTTAGCTATTTAATAGCTAATCTCTGGGGAAATGCAGGTGAGGGGGAAAAAATCTCAAATATGGGAAGGTTGTAGAGTCAATAAATCTCTTAATTATAGCTTTAGTCCTTAATAGTTTTCAATTATTTTTCTT